CCTGACCATGAAGTGTGAGGCAGCCTACTAGATTCCCGGCAAGTGGCCAATCTGCCTAACTCCTACCTGAGCCATGATGAGAGCACCTCACTGATATCTTTCAAACCATTTTGCCAGTACTTAGAATTCCCAGCCTGTTCCCAAGGGCTGGTAGAATTCTGGTCAACGTATTAAATTATTATGAAAAACTGCAAAACGTATTAATGCAACCTGTTCAATCATAATATGATTACCATAAAATTTAATTACCATAAAATATTCTCTTAATAGCACAATTAATCAATTATCCTTTATTGTTCCCTGCTTTAAATTGTACTTGAACACTAAAAGAACCATTTCAAATGTCAAACATAAAGGGTTATCTCAGATGAAATTGTGACTAACAAACGCTAATGTACTAATAATGGATGTGAATCCTAGAAGTGTGGGCAAAGCTTACTGCTGAATGTCAGAATATGAATTAGTGTCTGTGATGAAGAACATTTTATGTAAACAGCAAGTACAATTTGCTTTGTTGTATGATTAATTTAGAGATTTTGGGCTGAATCTTACTTATTTTTGGCTAAGTACAAGTCACGTTGAGTTTTCAGGAGGGTTTTTTTGCCACAAGGCCTGGAGGGTTTTCTTGCTGTATCTTACCAAACTCGCCTCATTAACTACTATCCCATCCTGTGGCACCCTGACATCTGATTCTAGCCCCATCTTACAACACACTGTTCCCAGAAATCATCACTGCCAGGATACGCCAGAACTAACCGACATCTCTTGCACCTATGCCATTTTAAAAGCCAGTTATGCGCCCAGACCAATACTCTCAGTGTGGTGCTGCTTTGCAAAGTTCCTGTTATTTGCCCTGGTCATGACAGATGGAGTAAATCAGCACCCTGCTTTGTAGGCAGGAACATGGAGGTCCACCTGCTGGAGGGATATTGCAGAGGGGGGACTTTCTCTTCCCCAGGACCAATAGCAGAGGTGACAACACCAGACCATGCCGGTCTAGCCCCTGTTTGCCATGAAGGTTAGAGTAGTCTCAGACATCTGAAAGAATGCATAGCTGTGGAAGAAGGAGATCAGTAACTTTCTCCACATTGCCAGTGTAAGTGCCACCATCTTCTCTCTGGCACTTCACACACATGCTTTCTCTAATACTATACTCAACTTCAAACAAGGCAAATGCTCTACCACCTTCACAATTGCCTTCAACATCTTCCCTCACTCACCGTAATCCATTCCAATCCCCAATAGCACTAACCCTGCCATTTGCACTGCTTATTCACTTGCTCGGGGCAGCTGTCCACCTGCACCAAAAGTAACAGCTGTGCCACCCATTTTCGTCTCCCTAAATACCTGCATCTCTTGCTTTCTAGGAGGAAAACAGCCCCCAATATGGCAAAAAGAATTATGATAGGTGGTGGACAGCCCGGGATTTGGCTCCTCATCCTTTATTTGGACAGCATCTGACAACGACCACCATGAATGGCTGATTGACCATGTCCAAAGTCATGGAATGGTATTGGAGGCTGCCCCTAGATAACTTTGCCAGGATGCCCTGAGTAAAGGCTATGCCCTTGACTCGACTGAAGCTTGCTGACTATCTATGACAATCTTCTTGGCTTTGCATCTACACTAAACGGTATAGCAAGACAGAAGTAATATGAGCCTGATAGCTCAAGAACATAAGAACATAAGAACTAAGAGCAGGAGTAGGCCGTCTGGCCCTTCGAGCCTGCTCCGCCATTCAATAAGATCATGGCTGATCCTTTCGTGGACTCAGATCCACTTACCCGCGTTCTCACCGTATCCCTTAATTCCTTTATTGTTCAAAAAAAATCTACCTTTTTTTTAAAAAGTGTTTACTGAAGTAGCGTCAACTACTTCACTGGGCAAGGAATTCCATAGATTAACAACCCTCTGGGTGAAGAAATTCCTTCTCAGTTCAGTCCTAAATCTGCTCCCTCTAATCTTGAGGCTATGCCGTCTCAAGCTGAGAGAGAAAAGTACACAAAGACAAGGCATAGCAATGCAAGGCAGGGATGCATTCAGCGTCCAGGTAAACTCAGACTGAGTACTATGACAGCGAGCAAAGAGTGCAGAGATGCAGCCTGGTCCAAACCATGAGCTTGGTGCATGTCCCTTGGGGAAAACCTCCTTGCTGCAGCATCACAATGGTAGCTGCCAGTGCAGAATGAGATGCAGCACTGAAGTGCAGAATCATCTTGTAAGAGGTTGGAAATATGTCACGATGGTTCTCAGAGGCTGGCACATATCAGACGTTAGTCTGTGGTTGTGGGATACTTGTGAACGGTGCCCACAGAGTAGGCCCTGAGATTTTGATGCCTAGTGCCCTGCATGGAAGTCCTTTGGAGCAATGGTGAGCTAAAGTCAGCAGGTATCCACTCTGATTTCTACATTGAGAATTTTCAACATCCAACTTGTTTTTTGGCTCATTTAGTGTAGAAAACTGTATGTTAATGAGGTAAGTTGGGCTTGTCAACAAGATGATTAACAAAAAACAATTTCCCTTAATTGGCAACATGCTGCTGCCTAGTGAGAAGCTTATTCTGTCACTTGTCAAAATAATTAAAAAAATGGTGCGAAATGCTCCTGACATTGATGTAGGCCGCACTGGACTTGTCATCCAATTCTGCCACAAATCTCATAAGATGCTGCTGTTCATTTTTAACTCCTGTTCTACACTACACATCATTTAATCCAGGAAATTCTTCTCTACTTTGTTTCTGAAGCCGTCTCCAATGTTATCCATTAACTCTCCCTGAAACACAAAAGCGCTCCTTTTCAATGTAAAAATTAGCTACTCGATTTAAAGTGTATGTTTATTATTTTTGCTTCACATTATTATATGATGCTGGCCAAGACTTGGGTGAGGTCATGGATACCAAGTCCAGGTTCAATTGAGCAGTGGAATGATAATGAATCATGGATTCCTACAGTGCAGAAAGAGGCCATTCGATCCATCATCTGTAGCAGCCCTCCAAAGAGTATCCTACCCAGACCCAGCCCGCTTCTCTATCTTCTTAACCCCATTAGCATAGCTGATCCACCTAACCTGCACATCTTTGGACTGTGATAAAAAAAAACCGGAACACCCTGAGGAAATGAGAATGTGCAAACTCCACATAGATAGTCACCCAAGGCTGGAGTTGAAATCAGGTCATGGCACTTTGAGGCAGTAGTGCTAGCCACTGAGCCCCCATACTGTCCCTCGTCCATGTTGCACCTCCGAGCTTTCTTGAATCTTTATGAGCACTGGAGTTCAGTTATTGATCGTTGATTAAATTAAATGATGTGGCAATGTTCAAGCACATTTTGAAAATTATGCCAGAAGGGAAAGGGATGCCAAGGCATATTGTTCAAACTCCACATTTTCTATGTTCCCTGATTCTGGTGGACCTCTCATAACCCCTCTCATCTTCTAGGATTTGTGCCTCACAAGAGATCCTCTGATTTCAACTACTGTGGATTCATTATAACAATTTCTTGTTAGCATTAGCATTCCCTTGACCATGGGCAAATGCTATTTGTGTCAAACCTGCTTGAATTTTTTGAAGAAGTGACAAAGAAGATTGATGAAGGCGGAGGGATGGAAGTTGTCTATATTGTGTATAGGAATTGCGAGGTCATGTTGCGGCTATATAGGGCATTGGTTAGGCCACTTTTGGAGTACTGCGTTCAATTCTGGTCTCCCTGCTACAGGAAAAATATTGTGAAACTTGACAGTGTTCAAAAAAGATTTACAAGGATGTTGCCAGGGTTGGAGGGTTTGAGCAATAGGAAGAGGCAGAATAAGGTGGGGCTATTTTCTCTGGAGCATCACAGGCTGAGGGGTGACCTTACAGAGGTTTATAAAATCATGAGTGACATGGACAGGGTGAATAGCCAAGGTCTTTATCCCAGGGTAGGTGAGTCCGAAACTAGAAGGCATAGGTTTAGGTGAGAGGGAAAAGATTTAAAAGGGACCTACGGGGCACATTTTTCATGTAGAGGGTGTTGTGTGTATGGAATGAGCTGCCAGAGGTGGTGGTAGAGGCTGGTACAATTATAACATTTAAAAGGCATCTGGATGGGTACATGAAAAGGAAGGGTTTAGAGGCATATAGGCCAACTGCTAGTAAACTGGAATAGATTAATTTAGGATATCTGGTCAGCATGGGCAAAGGGTCTGTTTCCGTGCTGTCCATCTCTGTGACTCTGTAAATCAGCACTTAACCTCCATAAAAGGAAGTCCTTACAAGGACTGCTTTACAAAACTTAAATTTGTAATGAAGATTGATTATCATTCAAAAACTTAAATAAGTTACAGATTACAAAGTATCACACACTAGGAATTTATTTCACTGAAACTCCCATACATTCAAAGTCTGCTGTCAAATCTTAATGATGGCAGGATTGAAGAATTATTGACCAAATGTATTCTTTTCATCATAAGCCTCCTCACCTTCATAACATTTATCATCATTAACAAAATAATACATTTGGCAGACAGTAAAGCAGGACTGCCTACTCCCAAACTTTCTCTATGTTGTTAACTAGGCTGTTGGAAGTTTATGATAGCAACACTCGTGTCACCAAATTCCAATTCCTCTCTTGTTGCAAATCATCCAGCCAAAAGTCAATGCATGACTCCAGGTGACATTCACATAGACAGTAATTTTAAACCTTTGCTCCAGCAGCTCACTGTAAATGCCACATCACAAAGTTTCAGCAATATTTGTGTGTCAATAAATTACAATTTTACTTACCTTCCTATCTTGATGCTCCATTTTCATTAAGAACTGACCTTAGTCAGCCAAATAACCTTTAATTGTAAATCATATTTAATCAAATAATAAATGCACTGTATCGATCCAATAGTTTTTGAGGCTTGTCAAGCAATATAATACAAAACCATAACTAGGTCAGAAAATATTAGGTGCAAACCATTTCTTTTGCAGGAAATTCCAGTCAACAAAAAGAAAGAAATATTAATTACTGACACTTACCTGTTGATGGTATTCAATACCCATGCTCAATGTATTGATCAGAATGGCAATCATAATTCCACGGTTGAAGTATTTACTTCCCACAATTCTTTTCATTCTTTCAGAGAATAATGTCCATAGCAGGACTAATTTATTCTTTTCCTTTGGTTTCTTTTTGTTCTTGTGTCTCTGATCGCTGTGGTCACCTTGTGTGATGTCTTGCGTAAATTCGTACACGCCATCAGCATCAGAATCACAACTTTCTGAATCACTGAGCTCCAGGTCTGGATTTTCCAAAGCATGAGCACAGTAAGGGCAGTTCTGGAGCTCACAAGTCAAAACACCAGCCTGTGCATTGGGTGTGGAACATGACACATTGAGCCCTGATAACTTGCTTGCAGCTCGAAAGATTCCTTCAATAAAAATATCCAAACAAAGATATTAAGATGCAGCAGAATATACACTATTTGTGGCTACCTCTTACCTAAAATTTCAATAAGAATATTTCTTAATTTTCTGAAACGTACCATTTTGAAGATAGTCTTGCAACTCCCTTAGACTGTCAGTTTGGACACGAGATATGGATTTATTTAATGAACACATTTGAAACACCTCTATAATAGGTCTTGTGTACTACATGGCTATTTGCATTTATTTAGTGCTATGGAGCAATGACATATTCAATTCAGATTACTAATTGAGCAAGTATGATTGACAGTCGCTATGATTCTATTTACATGTCAAAGCATAAAAAGCAAAAAGTTAATCAAATACTGCAACAAAATCAACATAAATTGCAATCTAATGTTTTAACGATGGTCTGTAGCTCGGGCTGTGGTTGGAGTTGTTGGTTGGCTGACCGAACTGACTGGTTTTCATGCAAATGCTTTGTCTACCTTCTGGGTGACATCGTCAGTGCTATGTAGCTTCCGTTGAAGCGCTAGTGTTCTGTCCCACTCTGACATAATGGTGAACCGAATGAGCAAACAGGGAATTCCTTACCAGCATATACAGAAAGACTACACACACAGACCAAATCCAGAATTACAACAGTAACCAGCCCAGCAGAGCTGTGTGAAAACTCTGTTTAAATGAGCGCTAACTCACTGCAACACCCTGGAGCTGCGCAACAACGAAGAGGAACACCTAAAAAGAGTCTTTGCAAATAATGGTTATCCTGACAGCTTCGTCTGCCGATGCCTGGCAAACAAACAACACCAAGAAGACAATGTACACCCCAACTCACTGGCCATCCTACCCTACGTTAGAAACACATCAGAACTGACTACAAGACTCCTTTGATCTCTTGAAATAAGGATAGCACACAAACCAAAAGCCACACTTTGCTAGTTACTCTCAAAGACGAAATACCCCATACCCACAATGAGCAGGGCAAACATCATATATAACATACCATGCAGCAACTGCGATTAACACTACATAGGACAGACGGGCAGGAAAGTCGCCACCAGGATACATGAACACCAACTCGCAGTAAAATGGCATGACCAATTCTCCCTGTTTCAATACACTCCGACATAGAAGGATATCAGTTTAACTGGGACAAAGTTACAGTGCTAGGACAAGCGAGACTAAGACAAACACAAGAATTCCTGGAGGCCTGGTTTTCAACCACCGATGCAATTAACAAACATGTTGAAATAGACCCCATCTACATACCACCATGATACAAAACCAGAAACAAGACTGCCCAACATGACAGACCGGACCATATAAATTCAGAGAGGACAGAATAACAGTGCTTCAACGGAGACTACACAGCAATGATGATGTCATCTGGAAGGGAGACAAAACGTTTGCATGAAAACCAGTCAACTCGGCAAACCAACCAATAAATTGCAATTGTTAAAATTCCTTAAGGTTCTTTTCCATAGTTGATTAATTAATAAATCTGTTGAATTAAAAGTATGAATGCAGCATTTTTATATTCAAACTACATCTATCTTTATCCCTGGGTTCACTTAAAGAGAAGTCAACATTGATGAAAATTTAAGCAACTCCTTCTAAGTGGATAGACACAACAACCATAGTGGTGAACATGAATAAAATATTTTCTTGGTATTTTTGTATCTCTGCATAGTACCTCAGGACTTTTTAAACTATGAAAAATAGAAATAGAGAACCAACGTAACTACCTTTTCGTTACAAGACTACCTTACATTAGGCAAAAACAGTAAATGATGCCATTTAGTCTCATAACCCATTGTTTTAGTTGATACAAGCTGCCATTAGCCCTTCTAAGGATTAAACCATAATTTTGGTTGTGGAGAAACTAATTCTCAGTTGTAATTTTCAGTAAATGGTTAAATTTCTCATTTCTTCAGCCTAGTTTTGGTTTACTAGCTGCAGAATTGAATTTGGTAAAATTTGGACCATGTCAGATTCTTGCTTTCCTAGACCTTAATGATTAATGCCTGTAGACATCTACTCATTGACCAAAGGAAGCATGCTCACAATAGGTAAGCATAGGTAGACTATCCGAGCGTATCTTTCTGTGTGCATAGCCAGTACAACACAAAACATTTTCTCAATGGAGGACAGCATTTACGTCTAGGGCCATTGCAAGGAAGGTTTTGAATAATATTATAAAAGGAGAAGATTTAGTCTACATGCATGCATGATAAGATTCTAAACCTATTCATAAATGTGCAGGTTTAAAATTTCATAGACATTGTATAAAGGGATTTTTCCCCCAAACTGTCTAATTTTAGAACATTCACACCTTGTGATGGTAATCCAGCAGCAACATATCATAGGCAGTGGAAGAAGAAATGTCAATAATCTAAAGTCACAGTGACAGCCCAACTGATGTTTCATGGGAAGATCTTATAACTTGAATGCAGCGTCAATTTAAAACACTGGGAACAATGGCAACTCTAGGCCGTGATCAACCTTTTTAAGATTGATGCAGCACTTTGTGCACATTCTTAAATTGCTTCCAGAGGGATGTTCTAATGAAGAACTAATTGGTTCCATAGATGAATAATGATTACAAATCTGGGCAATACAATGGCTGACAATTGCAAAATTGGTTTACTTCAGGGAGCTAGGCTTAACATTATTTCTCAGTTATTGGTTTTCAGCAAACAGTCAAATCTCTTATTTCTTTGGCCTTTTTAACCACAGGTTCTATTCTATAAATGTTACTTAAACCTATGTCCTGCTTTCCAAGACAGATATTTTTTTAAAATTCTAATCCATTTTTTCACTTTATTTCTATTCTCTCCTTCAACATTTATTTACTTTTCCATTTCATTTTCAATGCCTTTAAATCTATACTTTCAAATGTTGTGTTGAAATTCATTTTGATACATCTACTTTCAAATTAATTACAATACTTTGAGACATTATACAGTACAGACTGATTTAATAACAATTCCAAATGTTGGTCCGGTAAGATCTTCTTAAAGCTGGGAATGTGGTGTTAATAAACTTGTCATGTGTTTAGCAACAACCTGTAACAAGATGGTAACTTATTAAACAACAGGATCAGAAGTTAGAGATATAAAACCACCCAATTAGTCATTTCCCCATAAAAATGATTTTAAAAGATCAGAGAATTCTAATACTCGAAAAAATAGATCTCATAACAAAACTTCTTGACGTTCTTTAAAAATAGCCTTATGATTGGTTTTGCAGGTATGACTATTGTGTGAGATTATTATTAAATGTCATCTTAGTTTTGAGTGCAGTTTCTAGGGATGAACAGGAGGACTCCAATTAACTTCACTTAATAATAGCAGTAATTTATTGTTACATGTTTTTATGAAATACATAAAATATATGAAGTCACCATAAGCCAGTGCCATTTTAGTTACATAAATTATAAAAAGAAATAAATCATACAAACTTAGGACAAATTTCATTTTTGGTTCCATACACGGTGTCTTGATTTCCTAAGTGGCCATAGGATGCTGCCACACGCTGTAACCACCAAAGCAGTCCCTGAAGCTGCAACACCAAGGAAGCATGCTGAACCAGCCGCCGCCACCACTGACCGGACCCAGATGTCACCTCTGCCAAAGCTGTTAATACTCCAGCCATTGCCATAACCAGGAAACTGTCCCAGCTCTTGAGGGCCCCATCTTAATTTCTGAGAACCAACTGACTATCCAAATTAACTGTTGCAGACACTGCCAAAACATCAGAAGAAAAGAATGGACCCCAATTCATCGACACTGGAATGGTTGCTCAAGCCATGCCCACCATGGCCACAAGGAATGGACTGGATCCAGCACTCAACACTTCCCCACAATCTCTCTCCACCACCACAGCCACAGAAAGAAGTAAAGATTAACTTGATTCAAAAGCAAAATGAAGAAAAATAAAATTTTAAAAATAGAAGGATGCAGTTGGTCATGCAGGAGGGATCGGACAGGCTGGGAGCCCGAACACCTCCTACCCTGCCACTTCTGCCATCTTATTTAAATATCAATAGCTCTGAAATTTTGGCATCTTTGTTTGAAGCTTAGTTCCAAAAAGATATCAAAGATTTGGTGAGTCATGAAGATCACAGTTCTGAATTCGCAGAACTGATTCACAGACAGGAAACAAGAGTAGGGAAAAACAGAGCCTTATCTAAGTGTCAGCCACCAACTGTTGGGGCACCGCAGGAATCAGTGTTTGTCACTATTCATGATATATATTATTCATGATATATATATTAATGCTTTAGACGATGGAACTAAACACAATATCTCCAAGTTTGCAGATGGCACAAAGCTGTAGTCACTGAAACTAAGCACACATGTGCATCTTAGAATACTGAAGGAATTAAGGGTGGAATTGCAGTGGAACTAGCAATCAGCTTTCAATCTTCCAGAGGACTGGAGAATTGCAAGTATAACACTTTCAGTCAAAAAAGTTTGCAAGACTAAGCCCAGAAATTAAAGAACAAACAATTTAACTTCAATGGTGGGAAAACTTCTTGAAAAGAATATTCAGTATAGGATGCAGTCACATGGAAAATGTGAGTTGATTAGGAATAGCCAGCATGGATTTCTTAAGAGAAAATCACGTTTAACTTACTTGGAGCTTTTTGAAATGAGAAATGACATATTGCTGTTAATGCGGTATACATGGACCTCCAAAGGTGCTTGATCCAGTGCCATACAACAGACTTGGGAGCAAATGTAGAGCTTATGGAATAAACAGAACTGTAGCAACAAGGATGCAGCACAGTAATGGTTAATAAATACTTTTCAAGCTGGAGGAAGGCTTGAAGTGAAAACTAACAGAGGTGGGGAGGTCAATGTTTTTTGGTAATTTTAATGATCTAGAACTTGGTGTGCAGGGGATAATTTCCAACGACACAAAACTTGGAAACCTTGAAAACTTTGAGGAGGATAGTGTGAAACTATAAAGGGACATTGACAAGTTGGCATAGTGGGCAGATAAATGCCAGGCAACGCTCAATGCGGAGAAGTGTGAGGTGATACATTTTGGTTGAAATAACATGGAGATATAATATAAAACAAAGGGCACTGTTTTAAAGAGTGTGCAGAAGCAGAGCCGTGCGTGTATGTGAGCAAAAGTCATTACATGTAGCAGGACAGGTATAGTGAGTAGTTAAAAAGCATGTAACGTTCTAGGCTATATCAATAGTGGTACCGAGTACAAGAGCAGGAGGTTATACTGAACTGTATAAGGCACTAATTAGACCTCAGTTGTGCACAGTTTTCGCAACCACATTCTTGAAGGATATGAATACAATGTAGGGAAAGTGGAAGAGGTGTATTTGAATGGTTCCAGGGATGAGAAATTTCAGTTATGAAAATAATATAGGAGAAGTTGACACTCTTCTCCTTGAAGAGAGGATTAAGAGGAGATCTAATAGAAGTTTTCAAAATCACCCTCTCATTAGAGGATCAAGAATGCGAGAGCACAGACACTAAGACAATTTGCAAAAGGAGCAAATATGTCAGAGAAACGTTCTCACAAAGCAGAGAGTTACGGTCGGGACCCACACTGCCTAGTAGTGTGGTGGAGCCAGGAGTATGGCACTAAGTCAAATGCTCATCCAGTGTAACAATTTTGTAATTCTGGATCTATCACGCATGGTGCATTCTAAAGATAGTTAACTCTCACATATTTTGGGACATGCATCGAGCAATATACACAACTTTTGGCTTTGGAGATTAATAAGACATTTGATTGACATGTTTAAAATGATGCGATGAAGGAAACATGCTAATTTGGACTCTCAGACTAGGAGATGTATAAGATTAAATGTAAGATGATATGACAAAGGGGTGGAAAGACCTCTTTCACATAAAACTGTCAGCCTGTAGAACAATCTAACACAGTTATAAAGTGCAGCATATTTGCAATTCTGAGGGTCACCAGACCCAAAACGTTAAGTCTGATTTTTTTCTTCACAGATGCTGCCAGATCTGCTGAGCTTTTGCAGCAACTTCTGTTTTTGAGCATATTTGCATTTCTCGCTCATGGTACACAGACATCCTGACTGGATGACTGCTTTTATTGCTCACCCCTAATTGTCCATGAGATAAAGTGACCATAGCCTTACCAGACCATAGGACTGCTCTCTCATTAGAGAGGTGATGAGTGGTGGTTTAACTTGAGGCTTACCACGTCTCAGGCGAGGGGTAAAGGTTGAAAAGGAGAATCCAACGTGGTAACCTCAGCTAGGGCAGGAATTGAACCCCACTGTTGTATCACTCTGCATTACAAACCAGCTGTCCAGCCAAGTGACCAGAAGGTGGTGGTGAGCTGGTTATGGAATCGCTACAGTCTTTAGGGTGTGGGACATCCACAGTTCTATTAGGAAGGGAGTTCCAGAATTTCAACCTGTGACAGGGAAAATGTCAACATTTAAGAGCTGATGGTTGAAAGAAAGAGAAATAAAGGGATGATGTGGACATATCAGATATATAGTATAATCCTCCACATATATGATAATCTCAATCCCAACACTGATAGTTTGCTTTCATGTTACAAATTCTGTACAATTCCACATCGTGATCTTCTGCTCTGCTGCAGCAAAGTTCTTCCTTAGTGAATACTGTTGTAGCTTGCCCAGCCTTACACATGCTCTAGTCTGTTTCAGACCTGGTTGGTTGTTTGACAAATAACTTATTTCAGACCCAGTAATTCAAGTTAAGTCCAAACCCAGCACTGATCTTGAACTTCCAGAATCTGTTCTTTTGAACTTTATGAGAGCTACAACAGCTCTCCATCTAGGTTGGTGAGAAATTAATCCCAGCTTCCCACCAAACAAACAAATAACCCTACATAATGGAAGCTTTGTATGCAAGTTGGAACAGCATGCAGGGCGAAATAAAGCAGCCATTCATAAGTACAGAAAATGTTCTGTTGTCAGGTATTTAAAATTATGTCCCTGTATGGGATCACTTTTGTAAGTGCCAACCTTTGTAAGTTGGATGCTCGTAAATCATGGACTCCTGTATTGTTTTGTGTTATTCTTGTTTACCAAGGGCAAACAGATTGAGTAATTTTCCGAACTGATAAATGAAATGAGTTTGTGTTAAAAAAGATTTTGTACACTTACGTTCTAGATGTTTTGTGAGTTGCAGATTGTTTGTTTAATTTTTAGCGAAGTGAAAATGATAACTAGGTTTGGTGGTATCAATATTCACAGCTAGTAAAGCAGACAAGGCCTTAAGAAATTTAGTAAAACCTAGCCGAGATGTAATTCAAAACTACTGAGGCATAGTGACCATTCTGTTGCAAACTGTTAATCATCACTTAAATTTTCAGGATCTGAGTTCTGATTATTAATCCTTCAATGTAGTCATCATCATTAGAAATACACTGGTCATGCACATCTTCAACTTAGCCTGTACCCAGCAAAATACATAATTGCCCAAATTCAATAAAACCAGCATGGTATATACTAAAGCAATATACAGTATAATCATCCACCATTTGGAACTCCCTAAGGAGTAAACAAGCAAGAAATCAGTCACAGGTATGTATTATTCTTAAACTTCTCATTCTTCCTGTTTAAGGGGTTTTAAATATCAGTGCATTTGTAAAATTAAGTGGCATTCTCAAGCAGCTTTTAACACATTAGAATTAATTTTGAAGAGACTATTGAAGAATCATTGCAAAATGACAGTGACATTTCTTACCGTGTTCTCCCACAAAATGGTGCAGTTTGCCATAGGAATCTGCCAAGTTCATGTTCGGGTTCCTTCTGCCCACAGTGATGGGTGTATTACTGCTACTGTTGCCTTTTAGTTTTGGTGTGCAGCTGCTTCTACTAGTCACGGGTGGAACAATTGTTGGATAGTTCATGCCTCCATGGTGTGTAATGCCAGTCATTAGTTTAACATTAGTTGTAGTGGAAGACTTGTATGTCATTTGTGGGCCTTCAAAGTGGCAGTCGGCATGGTAAATACTGCGAACCGACTCAGTACCTGAAGAAGGACTCTGATGGTTTAGTGCAGATGAAGGAAGCATGAGCTTACTGCCAGATCGCAATGATTTCATCTCCATATCACAAAGTTCTGGACTGCCCTGCTGTGCCTTTGAATTATCATTGCTGATATGGTAATGATGATGATGATGATGATGATGATGGTGAATTAAATGATGGATTGACCTTACACGACCTTTATTCCGCCATTTCCTCCCTTGGCCATTTGAACTGTTTGGGGTGACCTTTTTGCGTTGTTTATTCTGCCAAATGTTGTAAAGGCGCAGTGTCCGCCGCTTCACTTTCCTGAAGAGGTGGCAAATGTATTTAAGGAGCTCTTCATAGAGGCTTCCAGGCTCAGAGAAACTGGCAATTGTGCTATCGTTTGAAAGAAAGCGGGCTCGCTGCTCCTGCATTAACTGGTTCTCACGTTGCTTTGTTTCTGAAAACTGAGTTGCTATGACAACCAGGCACAAGTTAATCATGAAGAATGAACCAACCTAAAGAAATTTTTTAAAGACATAAATACACAACGTCAATTTTATACTCACAAAGACAGCAAAAGCATTCATCCTTCTGTGCTGGCAATCACTCCAATTGTGCTCATTAAATCATCTTGTTTTGTTGTAATCGAGACATTAAGAAAATAACTCATCTCAGATTCAAGGGAGAATTAATATCTCAGAGTTTCCACAATATCAGTGATTTAACTTCATAATAAATATTGTATGAAGTACTATATTAAGGTGATATTTTAAAATCGATATAACTGATGAAAGAAAGCAACTCCTAACACTACTTAATGTTTGTGGGAGACAGAGTTGTCCAATATCTGGGATACTGCCTTTAGAACAATTCCCTCTTCAATAGGCCTGAAAAGAAACTTTAAAAAGGAAATCAGAGATAGTAGGAACTGCAGATGCTGGAGAATCCGAGACAACAAGGTGCAGAGCTGGATGAACACAGCAGGCCAAGCAGCATCATAGGAGCAGAAAGGCTGACGTTTCA